ACGATACCTTTTTTTTTTTTTTTTTTTTTTTTTTATTTAAGAGCTTTGCGTAATAGTCACGCATTATGAAATTAATAATCGTAGGAAAATAATATAAGATTGTATATGATAAATTCTTGTCATCGGATAATAATAAATACGGCGGGTGGTGGGTATGGTGGTATAAAATCTCGTAGTTAGGTAACACGCGTATGGTGGCGCGTGCGATATGAAACTGTTATGATAAAAATACATCGATATTATGTCAGGTAAAACTAATATCCTATTAAGTTGCATACGATAACGCCATAACATCCCGATTACAATACATATTTATATATCCAGTTGCAAATTAATTATTATTTATATTACATCGTCAATAATGCCATAGTGTGTGATACTCGTATTATTTTACCCGAAAGAAAAATTGTTTAACTAATGGTAAGCGAGAGAGAAAGACAGAGTGAGAGAGATAATCTTATCTCCATACACACAATTTGTTATCGAGCATGTAAACGAATATTATTTTACCTTTTTCCTCATTTTTTATTCTTCCTCTCCCTATTCTTACCTTTTTTTTGAAATCTACTCTAGGTAGGAATAAATGAAAAAAAAATATGTCAACGTTTTATCCAACCGGACATCTAACATTTCTCATCTCTCTCTCTCTCTCTCCCTCTCTTTCTTTTAATTTTTCTTCTCTTTCTTCCCCCTTTCAACTTTTACGACAAAAGAGGACGAGGATAATAAAGAACGAAATGAACGAAAAAAAGGAAGTAACAAAAAAAAGAAAAAAAAGAAAGAACAGTGTCAACGAGAATTTCTTTTCTTTTTTTTTTTTATCCCATACTTTTATGGAATATCTCTTGTTCCGCGATAAAGACGAAAATGAAATAGAAGAAAGAAAAGTTTCGAGAACCTCTAAAAAAACCCTCTCTCTCCCCTCCCATCTTTTCTCTCCTTTTTATATCTGCACAACCGTGATTCCGAGATCATAAAAAGTACAATTACTTAAAGGATATGCTAGTGCGAATGAATGCTTCCGGGGGGTGAGGGGGAAAAGTCGAAATTGCTAAAGTTGTTTAAAGCAGTTTGTTTTGTAATTCTTTTGGATTCTTTTTTTTCGGTTGTTTTTTGTTCGTATTATTGCGTTATCATTTGAACATACTTACACGTTATAAAACGTTTTACATTTTGACAGGAAAACGAAGAAGGGTACTCGTCGAGAATCCAAACGTAGGGTGAACGGTAGCTCCAATGGTATGGGAATTTTACCATCCGATTACATCGATCGTGGTGGTGATAGTCTTCCTATCAGTCTTGACACCTTTGCAACTGTCAATCGTCATCTACTTCCTAAAACTTGTCCGGTAAGTTATAATATATTCTGAATAATTATGCGTTTGGGGTAAAAGTTATCGCCAAGCGTGGTTTATCAAAGCATATATATATATATATATATATACGTGTTTATTAATATAAATGTAAAATAATGTAATTATTGTTGCATCATAAACCGTATAAAATTATTTAACGAAAGGTGATCGATCGCGAGCTAAATAAGAAACAATTTTAATATAAAACGAGTTAGCAATTGGTAGTATGTGTGTGTGTGTGTGTGTTTATCATGGATAGAAATTAGAATAAAATGAGAGAAAGAGAGAGAGAGAAAATGAAATTCTTATGGGATTTCCACAGTAGCAGCCCGAGTATATTTCTCTCTCTCTCTCTCTCTTACCCTTCAATTTTGAGATGGTAATAATATTTCAAAGCCAGGTATAAAACCGCATATCCCTAAAGGATGGGGGTGGGGGCACGTGGCAAAGACGACGAGGACTGTCGAGGGCAGTACGTAAAAAAAAATAAAAAGAAATAAAGAAAAAAAAAGGGGGAAACCCGTTTCCCCCTTAACTTCTGAATTTTATCGTTCGTCGCTTAGCTACGTGTTTTCGATCGAGCCATACAAATTGCAAAGTCAGTTGCAGATCATTTCTCTTAAAAGACTCTTTAAAAAGTATATGAGATTTTTATCCGACGGTTGATTTGTAAAATTTGCAAGATAGGCAAAATTTGATTATATAACTTCCTTTTTTTTTCCCCTTTTCCTTTTTTATCTTTTTCTTCTTCTTCTTCTTAGTTTTCCTTCGAAAAAAAAGTAAAGTTCAATTTTCAGCGTGGAATTTTCATTGGTCCGAAAACTTTCAACCGGAAAGTTTCATTCATTGCCTAAGCTTGGCTACTGGTATACTCTGACGACCTAAGGAATAATTCAAGTAACATGTAGAAGTTTCCGGAAATTGTCCTGGGTCTTATCTACCTTTCTCTCTCTCTCTCTCTCTCTCTCTCTCTCTCTCTCTCTCTCTCTCTCTCTTTCTCTCTTTCTATCTACGTAAAGTTCATGAGTGGGCGTGTATGGGAAGTAGAGATCCTTACCTGAAGTACTTGGTACGTCCGACCACGAGTTAAATCGATCGAATTTACTACGAGCCCTTAATTTTCTAACGATTAGGTTTTCCAATTGAAATTCAACGATGATTCCGCATGTAATTACTCTACGAGGGGAAAATAAAAAACCTTCACCGATAATTGTCTACATTTCAACAAGTATCTATTATATATATATATATAAACCTTTGCAAATCGATTTATAACTCGATATAGTATTCTACGCGTAGTTAAAAGAGTGTACTTTAATTTAATATAAAAATCATGAAAATCCATTTGCTAAAAGTATTAAAAATATTTACCGAAACTTTTCAAAGAAATTGCAAAGATGCACAATTTACAACATTGCATTCTCTGACATTTTTTCAAGTTTACATGCTAAATTTATAACTCGATATAGTATTCTACGCGTAGACAAAAAAGTGTACTTTTATTTAATTCGAATAAATTAGTAGTTATAGTTATATATATAAAAGATAAAATCTCGTTGGTCTCGCTTCACGCTATTGGATTAAAGTTGATAAGACATTTCTAAAGCGTGTGCTTAGAAATAGAAATAATAATAATAATAATAGCTTATTTCCTAGCTTTCGGTAGGGATTAAATAGGACTTTAAATTTGTGTAGCACTATTAACTTACGCTCTAAATAACACGTGACATGGATTAAGAGTTACGGCAAATTAACGTCAGCTACGTGCAATTAAACTAAGTTGTAATTAGTTATATTATTTGCACACTATACGTGATGGGGGACTGTCCAAATACATATATAATAGATGTCAAAAAATCGATATATATATATATATCTAGTAAACAAAAAAATTATTATCCATATTTTGTTCAAGTCGTGATGCAATCGGAATGCAACCGGATGCAAGTTCGAAATGCAACCGGAAAACGTTATCTGCAATTCATGTTAGAAAAGAGCTGAAACTCGTGTTTTCGTTTTGTTTCTTCTTTTTTTTGTTTTATTATTTCTTTTATTTCATAAGTCGTACTAACAAGCTATTTGCGTTAATCGCATTTTTATAATCGCCACAATCGAAACAATCGTAGCGAGTATAATAAAGAAAAAGGAAACACAAGAGATAATAGGGAATAAATTTGATTGTTGAATAAAAATTTGTCGGCATATAAATATTACACAGACTCTCCCTGCTAACAATGAGCTTAGATTAAGACGATATTAAAATGATCGATGCACGGCTATATATATTAGTTGATAAAAAGATCACGTGTTCGAAAAACCATATCGCAAAACCGATTCGCGTGGGCGACTTACGTTAAACGATGGTGGTAACCATTCGAGCTTATCGAATTAATTTCTACTGCAACACTTTTTTTATTATGCAATTCTTTCTTTTATTAATTTTTTTTCTTTAATTAATATGCAATCAATTCGCAGATAGTTTTGTTCATTAGAAAGTACGCGTTAAAGTATTTAATCAATATTCAAGCACGCGCGAATAAAATTTCAATATGTTCGACGATTTTATATAATGAAATTCTAATAATCTATCTATTTGAAATATGATCATTTACGTCATAATAATATGTTACGATCAAATTATACATATAATTAAAAAAAAGAAAAAAAAAAAAGAAAAAAAAATGGGATCATTCGTTTGACGATTGTATAATTAAAACATTAAAAAAAGTGGTTAAATCGAATGGAACCATTCGAGGGTGAACAAATGACGTAATTTTGCTTGTTCAGCCGGATCCAAAATGGGAATTTCCACGTACTCGATTAACGATCGAACAAGTCCTAGGAGAAGGCGAATTTGGACGAGTTTTACGAGCCAAAGCTATTGATATCGGTGGTTGGCCTGGACCAACCACTGTAGCTGTAAAAACACTAAAAGAAGATGCCTGTACTTCCGAACTGGCCGATCTTCTCTCGGAGTATCAACTTTTAAAAGAAGCTCAACATCCTAACGTTATTCGATTGCTCGGAGCTTGCACTTCACCAGGTGGTCCAGTTTATCTCATCATTGAGTTCGCTGAATTTGGTTCATTAAGGTTAGTCAATCTAAATTTATTCTTATTTACACATTTAATATTCTCTATATATTAAATAAATATTAAGTTGTGGTGCGGATGAAATTTTCAAAAAAAAAAAACAGAAACAAAACTCAACATCTTTGGGAAAATCTTACGCACCAACCAAATACTATTCAAATATTTGTCCAATAGTTGTTTGGTCAATTTGAAAACGAATATACTACTATCATATACTCTTGAGAGATTATTCCACGTATTCCAAATACGTGAATTTGTTCGAACCCCCCTAGTGCACTATATATGTAAATTGTCTGATAATAACATAGTAGTCGAAGCGAAAAAATATAAGGAAAATTCCTTCTCTTTCAAGTACCATAGGTATTTTCTATCTAAACTCTCGAAATGTGAATGAGTCGTGAGAAAGAACGCATAAAATAAGTCTCTCTCTCTCTCTCTTATTTCTTCGCGAATTATACTCATATGTATGTATGTATGTATGTATGTATGTATGTACGACTCTATGCGGAAATAACGCAGCAAATTCCGTAAATTGCATTTTCCCCGTTTCTCCTCCTTGGAATTCCATTCTTGAAAATAAGAGCCCGCCTACCGTTACATACAATACATCCATGAGAGAAGAAGAGTGTCCATACTTGATAATTAAATTTTTCATCTAGTTTTCTATATATTTATTCTTTCGACACACATAGTAGATAGGAAGTAAGGTAGGCACACATTCTGCACGTCTCGACAACAATTTTTCTAGAAGATAATTAAAAATAAATCTTCTCTCATTTTTTAAGTTAATCCCCTTTTATATATATATATATATATACACATTTTCTTTCAATGTAACTCGCGTGAAATTATTTTTAATTAAATTTAATTCTTTCTTTTTCTATTTCAAATGGGGTAGAAATTATTTAAGACGCAGTCGACATTTGGAATCCGAAGGAAGAGTTCTTTGCTTGACGTCAATTCTTTCAACGTCGCCGAATAATATCAGAGAGGAATTGCAATCGGTCGATACTTTGTCGAATTATACGATAACACCTCGCGACATTCTATCCTTCGCTTGGCAAATTAGCAAAGGGATGGCATATCTAGCAGATATTAAGGTAACTTTTTCTTTTTTTTTTTTTAATAATTCCCTATTAAATTTTTTCTCACACGGTGGTTGTAGTCGCACACATTTCTTTCGCGAGAATGATTTATTGCCGACATTTTTTTTCCTAATTCAAGAGAGAAAATCCCGTCCACGATACAAACGATGATCTATGGCATTTATAAACGAAACACGTAAATAATATTACTATGACCATGTGAGAAAAAGAAAAGGAAAAATTAATTAAATCATTTATTTAATCGATTGTATTTCTTCTATGTTTTTATTCAGTTGGTACACAGAGATTTGGCTGCTAGAAATGTACTTCTAGCTACAGGAAAAGTTTGTAAAATTTCGGATTTCGGCTTAACTCGTGACGTTTACGAGGATGACGCTTATTTGAAACGAAGCAAAGGTCGAGGTATATGCATTTCCATTTCCTTTCACTGCAAAGTGAAATTTTCATTGATATTATTCTCTTGGGATTAGACAAACACTAAAATCTTTTCTCTACCTATCTTAATTAAGTTCATTTTCCAGTCAATTAATTCCTGGTACTTAACGATTGTCTTTCACGTAGTACCCGTTAAATGGATGGCACCGGAATCCTTAGCAGATCACGTTTACACCAGCAAATCCGACGTTTGGAGTTTCGGCGTACTTCTATGGGAATTGGTCACTTTAGGTGCATCTCCGTATCCAGGAGTAGACGTTCATAATCTCTACAATCTGTTGAGAGCCGGCTATCGTATGGAGAAGCCAGCTAATTGTTCTCAACAATTGTAAGTAGATTTATTTTAAAATTCCATATTCATGGGATCTAGAAATATAAATATTTCTATCGGAAAATTGGTCGTAAATCAAGTTTCAAAATGAATGGCTCGAAGTTTGATAGAAAAGTTTCATTTTGAATTTGTTTCACCCACAACTCCAACTTTACGAAAATATGAAATTTATCAGAGTTACAAAGTTTGATGTTTTACGATTGCAGATATAAATTGATGGTTTCGTGCTGGCACGAGGAACCTGGTATGAGACCATCCTTCAAGGAACTCACCTGTCATTGGGAACGTATGTTAGAGGATGGAGTAGAGTACTTAGATCTGAATCCAAGAACCGTCCACAATCAAGCGTACTTTGCTTCTCTTCATGCATTGGATAGTCCAACCAGTTAGTTGTAATGATTTTATTTCTAATTCGTTTTCAGATTTTTGCGTTAACTTATTTAATATATTTGTATTTAATTTAGGTTCGGGTGACCAAGGTATAGAAGAAGCTAAGGTAAATATTCTAAGAACAGATACGGTTAACTACCTCAGCAAACCATCTTCGGAACCCGTAACGAAATGCGATAAAGTAGACAAACTTCATGCATTTTGGCAGGAACCAATATGTTCTTTTCCAACTGAAGCTGTTAAATCACCCTACGTGAATGATCGTCCGCCGAGTTTGAACACCAATCATTACGAAAGTCCAATTAAATTAAGGAATACCAGTGTGACCAGTAACAGCGAAAATGATCTGAAAACGCCATCAAATGAACGGCCGCAATCTTACATAGATATGCAAGGAAAGAAAGCAAAAGAAACCGAGGATTTATTGGTCTTCGGTAGCTTAGAAAGCAAAGATGACAACGATAGTACTAATTGAAGATTTATTTACACTTCAATCTGTCGAGAATTTGGAAACAATTTTATAGACAAGATTTTTTAAATTGATCACAAGATGATCGATCAATGATATTGACGAGATGATAGTGAAGAGGTCGATGAAATATGATACAAAAAAAATGATTTTTCTAGAAAGAATATCACTGAATGTAACAGAAAAGAGAGTCATAAATCGTAGTTATACGATTGTTATACCAAAAAGATAGAAGAAAAAATTGATCTAGATTTAAATATTTTTGTGTGTATAAAGTATTTTTTTTTTTTTTTTCTTGTAATTAAGCGAGACGTCAACTCCTTTTCTTACTATTACTATTACTATTGCTATAATTATTACGATTAACTATTATTACTACTACTACATACACGGTGATTCTCGATTATAAAGCTTATTTATATAATTAATATATATATATATACATATATATGTATATATATATACATCTACATCTATAAATATGTCTACAATATACACGTATATACGATATACATAATATAGTGAACGATTGTATGTACAAGCAAACGTACAAAATTTCACCACGTGCACATTGCTAATCGCATTTGAGAGAAAAAAGTCATTTCTCCTATGAGGCTTGTCAACAGTGCATTTGAAAGATTTAAATGGCTTCCTGGTTTAAGGATCATTATGTGAATCTTCGTTAATGATCGAAAATCTTATTGTAGGAAAGATGAAAAGTTTTTTTGTTTACAAATGCACGCACTCGTGACTTCATCGTTTAAAGCTTTTTCAGCGGTGTTGATAAAAACTGGAAAATGGCAATGATTAAGAGAGACTTTAATATACGAATATAAAACTTTTTATTGCGGAGAGTAGGTTTTTTATGGGGAAACACACGCTCACATAGAAAAAAAAAAAACGCTGATACATACAACACATATACGAAGAAGACTGGATTTCCGTACCTTATTCACAAAGTCATTTCTTTTTGTATTTATGTAAAAAATAAAACATTCCATTAGCGTTTAGTTCTCTTTACCTCGTATCGTTGTAAGTGCTGCTTCGTTTATTTTCGTTTTTTAATTTTTTATTTTGTTACTTCTTTTGTTGGATAGTTTTATCAGTGCAATGAATTGCAGTGCCATTATTATTTTATTATAATTAACACGTATGGATATAAAGAGAGAATGATTTGTTTATTAAAGATTGAAATAAAATCCGTAAGAGAGAAAAATGATCATCGTAAACATTTATTAAACATGGTCGTCGTTATAACACGGGGTATAAAAATGTGATAAATTAAAAAATGTATCGTTGTTAAAACAGCCTTGAGTAATACGAAACAAAACATTCATTGCTTTGCTTATATGTTTTTCTTCTTTTTTCTTTTTTCTTTTTTCTTATTTCTTTTTTCTTTTCCAATACTAATTGCAAATTTATACTACTGCTCGTCTGAATCCAAATGGACGGTAATATTTATTCCATCTTCAATTTCGCTATACTTTGTTTTCAACATATTATGCTCATTCTTTAAAACATTCATAGACGTAGAATTGTTGTCCTCGTTATTTAAATCTTGATTTGTAATATTATTTGGTGATACTACGGATGGTAAAAGATCGTCTGAAGGATAATTAAAGTAATAGATATTTTGTTAAATACATATTATTAATTGATATACACATTGTAGATATATTTTATATAAATATAGTAATAGAAACGTACCAGTTTCATCGGCACTTTTGTGATCGCTAGTAGTGCCATCGTCTAACATCTCCATTTGTGCTAATTTTATACTTTCCAAGAGTTCCTCTTTATTCGATAAACCAAAAAATGTAACGTAATCAACTTGATGAACCGTTCTCACTAATTTTGCTAATTCTTCAGGCATACGAAAACGTTGAAAACGTTGCGCCTCGTCAGGCAAATCTGTTGGCTTACAATATGGCAATTGTAAAATGTAATACCTTTTGTTTCTTTGCCCATAATTTTCTCTAATTAATTGTAATATATAACTGTCTATATTCTCGTATTTAATTGGTATATGTTTATTAGATGGAGGTGATGTCACAATGAGAATAATGTCAGCAGAATTAAATGCGGTTCTACACCAAAGTTCAACGTCCTGAAAAAAAAAAAAAAGTCGAATAGAGATGATCGTGAAAAGTAATGTAGTATTTTTTACGTTGACTTTCTTTATTACCTTTGATACGGTTTCCGAAATATCGAACATATCTATCATAGCATTAATATTACAGCATCTTAAATATTTTGTTAATTCTGTCATTACCGTGATATGTGATTCGCGCGTTGGCGAATAAACTATTAAACAATTTGGTTTCTTTCTGTCCTTCTTTGCTAGATTTTATTTTTAATTCAATGAAATAATATCATTTATTATATATTAATGATTATAAAGACAATAATGAAATTTGATACGATATTAGGGAGAGAAGCATGATCCTACCATTTTTTTTACATAACTTATATATGTGGTAAAGCGCATATAATATCACAGGTGGTATCCATATAATGCTAATTATCATAATGAGTAAACGATGCGATGCTTCTCCTGTAAATTAATATTTAAAGATAATCTCATACAATTATTTATAATAAACATCAAAGCAAAAGAGAAAATACTACGTACTTATACTTATGAATGGTGAGGTGGCATTAATACATCCATATATACTGCAATTAGGATGCATGGCCGCAACTTTGAAATAATAAATTCCATCAAATATGGAAAAATTATATTTTATATGTTCTCCATTTTCTGGCTGAGAAAGGTTTATCTCGTTTGTAACACCAGTACTATTATTTGTTAACCAAATTCTGTATCTAGTTACATTAAATTTTGCAGGAACCGGTTGTATATATAACGTGAAGAGCAATGCATCAGAAACATCTATGTAAATGAATGGTAAGTATGTAGTAACGTCATTATTTTCGTCTGAAAACAAAACATTTTTATTCAATGTTCTCCCATCGTATAAGATTTTATTGTATTTTATTCTGATAATTCAATTATTTACCAATAGACTCGTGATGGGGAATTATAAAAACAAGCTTTTTACTGTACTCCAATGTTTTCCTACTCACAAAGTACTCCAAACGATAAGGACTACCTTCATAAGATTGATTTGTAAAAGGACACGATAAAAAGAATTTGTTAGGTACTGAATCAGTCGTGTTTCCATAAAACGCAATATGCGTACACGTAGAAATATTTTCATCCATCAGACTTTGATAACGTGTGGTTAACCCTAGAATTAAAAAAAATATATATATATATATTATATAATTAAGAATGATGAAACAAAGTCCACTATAGATATTTACTAAGAAAATTTATGTCGGTAACTGATAAATTAAATGTAGTTGCTTTTCCCTGAAATTCCCCTGTACGGCTAACATAAGCAGACAATTGAAATAGAGCCGCATACTCCTCTGAAGGTACATGATTCCACCCATCGAATCTAAGTTTAATGCAATCTAAGGAAACAATAAAAAATAAGTAATGTATAAATCATGATTATGCATATATCGGTTACTAAATAACTCAAACTCTTACCATTATTTTTAATCGGTTTGAGCAGACACCGAGAACCTGGCACTGGCTCCGTAGTAAACTGTATATAAATATATGCATGTATATTATATAATATATAATATAAAATATATATATATATTATTACATAAAATAAAAATAAAAATAAAAATATACATAACTAGGTCTGAATTTAATGATAATAAACATAATAAATCACTTACCACATTTTCGCAATAATTTGGATAACAGTACTGAGCATTTACATATTGTGTCACATAATATAATGTAATTATGAGCAATTTAAACGCGTTGTACATTTTCAGGTTAAAATACAATGCACAATTTTAACGTAAAGCTTCTAAGAATAGAAGCCTTTTTAATCCTAACATATTTATTCTATTAATATATTTCTTTGTGGGAAGTTAAATCGTAGATTCTTTAGCTGACTCAGTCTATAGATCTTTCTTACATTATCTGAAAAAAATCAAAACAATAGACCAATAAATGACGCGACCCACAAACGCTTGCAATGCACTCGATGCACTCGATGCATTTTTTTTCCGACAGAAGTGCGCTCTGGCGGACGTCGAGGTAACCAAGAAGAGCGCTGATTAATGCAACGCGGGAAAAATTCAAATCTTTTTCAAAAATACCGTCGTAAAGAATTAATATTTTAATTAACAAAAAAAAAAGCAACAAACTGTCCATAGAATTAAATTTTTAATCATTGTATTTATTAATGTTAATCTCTTTACAGTATTTCCCAAAGTTTCCAATTAATACAAAATACATTTGCAATAGTATTAAACGTTCGATAATGCAACCTTGAGTTAAATTAAATTCAACGTCATTGATTTCAATAATCTAATCAATGTGTAAACATCTCGCGTTATGTTGAAAAAAAAAACAGTTTAATCTCCTTATTATATCTAATTCTTTAGGCCTTTTATATGCCTCATGTGATAAAAAAATCTAAGTAATTGAGTATATATTAATGACTATTTTAATTAGTAATTAAAACTGCATAAAATTCTTTTTCGAGAATAATAATAATAATAATAATAATAATAATAATAATAAAAGGAAAAAAAAAAGTATTTTGATTAGATCTGAGATGAAGATTGATCGTTAAAATTAAAACGTTTCTTCAATCCTTTCCAACACTTGTAATAATCCTCATCCAATTTATTACATAGTTTAGCAGACCATTTCGTGCAAGTCATACTATAAGAAGTTTCAAACATAAATGCCTGAGTACCATCAGCAATACGTTCGGGGATGAGTTTACTGTTCGTAGCACTTTCGAAACATCGAGTATCAGGACCGTGAGGTGTCATTATCGAGTGCAAGGACGCTCCACCAGCTTGGAAACTTTCCTCTTTTGCCTCGTAACTTCCTTTTATCAGTCCCATAAATTCGGCCATGCAATTACCTGTGTCAAACATACATCTATTGTTTCTTCTTCATTTTTTTTTCTTTTTATATATGAAAATATTATAGATCATATTTTATAGACAATGATTTATTTTTATAACAGATGGCTAGCGATTGATATCTACGATAAAAATCTTTCATTTATCGTGCATCGAAGTGTTCATTTCATATTTAATGCCGAACGCACCTTGTTAGATTTTCTATGATTTTTATCAGTTAAAAGTTAAAATTAGAGAAAGTTTCGAATGGAGTTCTTCTTACGAATTTTCAAACATACGCATGCACAACACAACACATGCATTCGTATTTCATTACCAAGCATCTCTAATTAATGAATGCATTAACGAAAGATTTGATCGATCTTCTTTATCTTCATATAAATAAATACTCTTCGATTTTGCATAATAAAAAAAAATCATACACACACACAGAGAGAAATGAAAATAAAACTAGAGAAAAAAGACTTTCACGAGGTTTCGTTTCTTCTTTAAAATAGACACAAGTAATATTTAAAAATATGCAAAGTAAGAAAAAGGAATAAAGAAAATCGTTCAAATGATTGACATTTTCGAACGTTGTCAAAGAAAAAGTCTGTGTTTTCTCTCGATATCTAGATTATACAATTTTCGTAAGCGTTCTTCTAGAACGACGATACCACCACTGTCACCACTGCCATCACTATACCGATGAACAACGTCACTCGACCGAAAGACGTAATTATCGTTCGAAGGAAATGAAAGAAACAAATGAAAAAGAAAATGCATCGAGTATCTATCTTTCTATATATCTCTTTGTGTATGTGTATATATGCATAATTATATTCTTCTAAAATAGTAGTTAGAAAATAGTTCGTATGGTATTATTAACCTAATCAAAATGAATACTTATATTTTCTAGGATACAATTTTCCAGGCAATAGGACACAATGTTATATCATTGATTACTATTTCTAATCAAATATAAGTATTACATTTATAGAAATATATTTTTTCATTGACAAATTGTGTGTTGAATATAATATCGATAAACTTGAATAGAAAACAATTTGTTTAGATCCGATCGAAGAATATAAAACTTTCTACTTACGATGATAGTAAGGAGGTCGAAAGGTGTGTTCCTGAACCGACCACCTGGGTGGAAAAATGACAAAGTCGGCAGCAGCAGTGCCAGGTTTATTCGAAGGACAAGTAAGTACGGTGAAAATCGAGGGATCCTAGAGAAATTTATTAATCATAGCAATTTCATAGAGAATTCTAACTTTCTTTAAATGACATTAGAAATCTCCAAAGAGAACTTAAGTATCGATTATCATTAAAAAAAAAAAAAAATGTATTCGATACTTACACAGTGATCGAAAGAAACCGAGTTGATGACCATAAATCTTTCAAGGTCGTACTTATATGGTACATAATTCCCATGCCAAGCAACGACATCGAATGGACTATGATCTTGAACGCTGAGAAATAATTTACCTTGAAACTTGGCAATTATTTTGTAATCAGTTTCACGATCTTCGAAGCAAGCAACCGGGGTTTGAAAATCTCTTGGACTGGCTAAACCATTGGCACCTGGGGGGAATCAAATCAATATTTTAATCATTCATTGGAAACTTATTATTATTTTGATAAGAGAGATGAAAATATATTATTTAATTTTAACCGATTGGTCCCAAATCTGGAAGTTGGAAATGATTATCGAAGACCTCGAGAATGTAACCTCTTGATGGACCAAGAACCGTTACGGAGAAACGCATTCCTTGCTGAATAACACATATTTCATTGGTTTCGCATCGGATTTTGCCGAATTCAGTGGTTATCAACAGGACACCTAACTGTGGTACTGTAACATACAAAATCTATTTGATCGTTTTTATATATTCTAAGTATTAAATTATACGTACCAATTAAAAAATCACCATCGGCGTTATAAAAAGCTTTATCTTTCATCGATGCGTTGCAGAGATAAACGTGTATTGCAATTCCTTGACGAACGTGACAATCGCCACCCCCACAAATCGTATGAATACCTTGAACGAAATCAATTTGAGGATCTTGTCTTGTTGGTAAATCGAATGGTTTCCATCTCAATTGATTTGGATCAGGTTCTATAGCATTCCAATCGTAATCGAGATGACCAACATCCTTTTCTGTTAATTTTTTAAATGGTTCGTGAACGACGGACGGTCTGATTCGATAAAGCCAAGATCTTTTATTTTGCGAGCGTGGTGCTAATCAAGACAAATCAAATATTTACAGATAACGCAATTCGATTCGTTTTCATTCTAATATGAAAAATTAATGAGAGAATTAGACTTACCTGTAAAAGCTGTACCAGAAAGTTGTTCGGCATAAAGTCCGTAAGGACATTTTTGTGGATTGTTTTGCCCATGGGGTAAAGATCCAGGACACCGTTCGTCCTCGCTTGAAAATTCACAGCCAAATCCTGACAAATACTACGAGGAAGGGATAAGAAATATTGATTATTATAAATTATATGTTATTTTTAAATTATTTTATATATATATATGGAAATTTCCAAATACCTTCAATTCGTGCTGCATGATCGCTCGGTTTCTTTAATAATAAAAACTGTGAACACTCCCACAGATATCTCTCATTTTATAGAGATTGCGATATGCAAAATATGTTTATCGGAATAACCGTATCACCCAATAATATGCGCGTATGCGAAGGCACGGCTGGTACGAACAGGTTTTTCCGTTCGATTTCATTGAAAAACAATTTCCAACGTCATTAGAATTGATTAAATAATTAGCCAAGCCTCGCGCAAATCGATACACAAGTTTTCTCATTTTCTCGAAAGCTTTGTATATTCGCAGTTTCATCAATCCTATTCTTTTGAAACATCTCGTGTTTGAAAAAAAAGAAAAGGAAAAGTAGAACAACAACAACAACAACAAGAAAAAAGAAGATACGAGAAATAGGAAAACGTAGGAAAAAAAAAAAAGACAAATCTTTTCTCGCTTATCTTATCTATCTATCTTGTTTTACGAGAGATTATCGTACGTCACGCGAACCTCATCGAACACACTAACAATATATGAGATTTCTAACGAAATCGATATCTAACGCGTAACGCGGATATATGAGGTAAGAGTATTATATTGAACGAAAAAAAAAAAAAAGAAAATAAAGGATCATTAAACACATGAGAAAGAAATTCTCTTTATTCGCAAGATCGCGTGTCATAATCATTATTATCTATTCGTAAGTGAAACTTCTATTCGAATTTTTCGTTATTCGCTTTTACTTCGTACATTTCAAACTTCTCGATAATTTTCTAATTATTTCCTTTCTTTATTTACTTATTTATTTCTTTCTTTTCTTTTTTATTTCTCTTATAAATGTATATCCTGCAATTAATATTTACAAATGATATGAAAAACGAAGATCGAAATAAAGCGTGTACATAATGCAATTAAACGTATATATTTACGAGATAGATATTGATCATATAAAAAGGAATCGTTAAAATTGTTCACATTCCTTCGATTAATTCTAGTTATTGTTAGTGAAAACGAAAACGATTTATCCATAGGAGTTCGCGTGTTCGTGCCATAAGAAGATATTTCCTTTTGCGAACACATCTTACTGACCAATCTCTAATCGGTAAAACTCACTAACTCGAGATTTTCACTTCGTTGGTAGAACCATTAGTTACTGTTAGGTGAAACTCATTTGAGTCACGCAAATCGTGTCGTTGTAACTTCTGCTCTTATTTTTTCTCTTCTTCTTCTTCTTTTTATTTTTCTTGTTCTTGTCGTTTATTTATCATCGTCTTGTTTTTCTCACAACGAAATACTAGAAACGAGTGGAAAGAAAAATAAATCGAGAACCCCTCCCTGTTATATATTATATTTATTGAGCCACGAGCGGTTCAAGGCCACATGATATTTCATTATACAAAAACGTGCGCGCGATAAAATCGATAAGGAAAGAAGAAGAAGAAGAAGAAAAAAATCGCAAAATTACATGAATGCTGATCGAGAAAAGGCGTTTAAATGAAAATCATGACTCACGAGTATGGTAAATAAAGTCGGTTGCTCTAACGTGTTTATTAAAACACATGCCTTATCTTTGTGCAAATGTGATTTATTTACTGATTCGTTGAAATAAAACTCTTTCGTGATTTTATTCTTTTTAGGCCAGCCAATAAGAGGCAAACTAGAACTTTTTGGGATTTTTTCTTTTTTCTTCTTTTATTCTTACGTCATATTATGACATGTGATTTGTTGAACAATTAATAATCATTAATCCCTGATTACGATTCTAACAAAATATTGAATGACCAACAGATGGAGAACGCGAGAATCGTAGATCTCAGAAACGACAACCAACAAAAAGTGGACCTCTCATATTCAGTGATTTCGCAATAACGTAACGACTGGTTTTCCTTTAAAACGATCGAATCAACAACGTTACAAGTTGCTTACAAGTCAGAACGAAAATAAATTCCTAGATAAGGTAAATAAAAAAAATCATATTGAATTTTTAAACTTCACGAGAAATTTTTGGAATAATCCTTACGCTCAGCTGTTATATTAATACACGTTCAAGATTTTCTAACCGAACAGGAATTAGGAACGAGATTAGAGAGTTCGATTATATATAAAATAAATAAAAAGAACAAACGTACAAAAAAAATATTCTAATCAGTTTAATGAAATATCAACATTCTCTAATTACCAATGATACAATCATTTTTACGATCGCTGAGGTAAATCAATTTACGTATCAATTTGCGTTCTATTTTTTGTCCTCTATAAAAAAGAAATTATGTAATCTAATAAGGAAAAAGATATTCGAAGTAAAACTTTAGGGAATGAAAAAAAAAACCAGAGGGAGGGTTAAAAAATTTGCCAACTTTTCACTTTCTTTGTTAACGATATTAATTCATTTAAAGGTAACGACCATTTCGAGTTAGTATTGCTCGAACGCTTTCAGTTATCGCTATTCGACCAAACTGCCCAGTGAAAGGTAAAACGAATGATGATAGTATATATACATACCTGTGTATACAGATGAACGCTTATATATATATGTATATATCTGTATGTGAGTGTGTGCTGTTAGTTCAAAGAGTTTTACAGTAGGTTTATTAACGTTGCATATGCATGCACGAAAGTTACGACGAAATAAAAGAATATTCGCGTTATTATGGTGACTTTAACGCCCGAACAAGCGCCAGCAGTTCTTACTACGTTTTCTAGTATCCACCACTGTTACTACTACTATTAAATATTATTCCTATAATACTACGCGTAAGTAACCACACACTTCTATATTATTTACGATGCGTTGACATAATCATTTTATGTGAATTAAATTCTCTTTCGTGTAAAAAAGCAAACTCGTAAAGATGTCGAAGACTAATCATAACTTCATTATTCGCCTTTAGATAATTATTGTTAACTTTGTATCTACGGTGTTGTAAGCAATACCTACGGGAACAAATGTTTATATACGTGAAATTAAACTAATCGCATGAGTCGCGTAATTCATTTCTTTGAAAGATAAAATACAAACATATACATATATATAAGTTGATATACAGGTTATATACGTAAGTAATATGCGCGTAAACCCATACACTCGCATCGTTGAAATGCTAAAATAAATGTCTTCGAACTACGGGGGAACGGCGGGGGGGGGATTATATTTTACAGTTAGAGACATTCGGAGATTCTTCTTTCTATCTCTTTTAAGGAGTAGAGAAGCTTATAAACGAGAGAAACATCTTTTCTCTCTTCTTCTTACTGCATCCTGCTGCAACACGAGAGAACTAACGGGAAATGCAGATGCACTTCGCAAAACTCGATCGAGATGCACGTTTTCTAGGTCAAAGTACTTTCTGATTATTTTTTTTTTTTCTCCTCTCTTCGTGTTTCTTTTTTTTTTTTTCTTTTTCGTTCGTTGTCGAAATTGAATCTCTCGATTGGGGAAACGATCAGGGTTACATCATCGATTATCTATCATTTTCCCCAACGATTAAATGCAAATTCTTTCGAATCCTACGATCTCAATTTGAGATAATCTTGATTATTCGTTTATATATCTTTTGTATCTTTTTTCTCTCTCTCTCTCTCTCTCGAAATTCTCGAACACTGTTAGAGTACCATTCGAGATATTTTAACTTATTCCAATGATCGATAGTTTTTATCGGGTTGCAAATTAAATGTTAATTATTCGAATCATCGATCATTTCGATACTTGGTAACTGTATAATAAATAATCGATAGTGATCAAAAAGATTAAGATTATCGATAATTAAAGATTAATTAATCATAATATGTATAAATATAAGTAACAATCTTGATAATGAGTTGAATTATCCTATCGCATTATCGATATTAGAAATGATCGATGTATATCTTTAATTTCGATGGATTATAAAATATGATTAGATGTATTAACGATTATCGATGATGATATTTTTCAAAATAAATTCTGTTTATTTTTGTTTGTAGAATAAATCAACGGGAATTATTTCGATACGAGATGCGCGAAGCAAGAGAATTTTGTGAAACAACAGGGCCGTATCCGGCGAGTCTTTCCCGGACTTGAATAATATCGAGTGAAGAAGGAGGAGGAGAAGGAGGAGGGGGAGAAGAAGGTAGAGAAGGTAGAAGAGAAGGTAGCGGAGGAGAAGGTAGTAGTGAGTCAGGTAGCGTGGTGGTAGCAGGCAGCCAGCTTGTAATCCCTACCAAAGGTGCTTACAGAATACACCACCATAAGCAGTTGGTCGACTGACGAGCAGGTGGACTCGCAAAGTCCTGGTCTACCGCTTCCTGCATTCGGTTGCCGGTTGCTCGAGTTCGTTGTCCGCGAGATCACCGTTGATCGTAGTAATCTCATTGGTGTCGTTTCTTCTTTTTCTTTTTCTTTTTTTTTTTTCCCCCTTATTTATTTCTTTTCATTTTATCTATTTCATTTTATTTGATATTATTTTTGTACAAGGGGTAATATTAAAAAGTAAGAAAAACAACAAGGTTAATATCCCACACTTCGTAATTTATTATATTCGTTTCTTTTGATCCTTCTTTTTCTTTCTTTCTTTCTTCCTTATTTTGTTCTTTTTATTTTTTATATATTTTTTTTCGTCGCGGATCGTTTAAATATACACGGTGTGTGTTATAAGTTGAATGTTACTTTTTGTTAGGACAGCCGATAATTTCCGAAGTCAAATGACACAGAGGTCCCTGCTCGTGGCAACTCGCGTGTGATTCCGCTACGGGTCACGTAGGTGTGCTTTGTTCTAGAGAAGCCTCGACCGAGCCAGTTCTCGTACGCAGGTTTTATGTGAGAATCTGGTGTACTATAAGAGAGAGAGAGAGAAAAAGAGAGAGAGAGAAAGAAAGAAGGAGAGGACGAGTAGTTCGATCGACCTCGATTGGCACGTTTCTCTCTGATCTGGGACGTTCTAATATCTCTTCTGAGATTAGTTTAAACGAATTAAACAAATCGGACAGTCCGAAGAATTGTTCTCTTTCGATAGAGAGGATATTTTTCATTCCACATTCCCGATTGAGATATCGATATTTTGCATGGGTGTGCACGTAAGTAAATTCTCTTTTAACGATATTTTTCACTTATTTTGTTTGTATTTTTAAAGACTTAAGTTTGCTTAGTTAACACCGAATTATTATTTACACTTACACATTTGAATTATCTTTAATTACTACACAGATCTTTAATCAGAAATTTTCAAGCTATCCCCTATCATTCGTAAACAATTCATATTTTTTATCTTTGTCAAACGTTTTTATATGAAATTTAATAATAAAAAAAATAAAAAAGAAGAAGATTTTCCGTGACTCGGATACGCTTGATTTTCGAATATCATCATCGTATCGAAGAGAAGATCATTTCTGTTCCATTTATTTCGATGCCGTGGGAATGAATGTAGCAAAACGATAGGAGGAAGTTTTCTAATCGTCCTTGCGCTGGTCAGTAATATCCTAAGCGAAATTTATTTAGATAAACTAGGCCAAACGTAATAAAATTAGAAAAACAAAACGCCTACCGATATACTTATATTCGCGAAGCGAATAGATAAGAGACTAATCTTTTTTCGAAACGACGATAAATCAACGGCAGGAACGTATTAACGAGCTTGGAAAAGGTGTGTCAAGATCATTTATTCATTCTACGTTATGATTATATCAATGAAAGATTATTATTATTATTATTACTCGTATACACATATGGGTCAAAAATTAATCAAAATTTATAAACTCTTTAGGATACTTGAAAACTTTTGGCCACCCACCCACACCATACGAAAGGATCCTCGATGAAACGAATATTCTTTCATTCAGGTCGTTGAACCCATAGTGTTAAACTTGTTTTTTTTTTTTCCTTTATATATTCGTATTAAAGTTTTAATGAACGCGCGTGTGTGTGTGTACGCCTGCATTAACTAGCCTGATTCACTCATCTAATCATCTAATTGCCTTTACTGTACTCCACAAACGACGAGTCGATGATCGTGATACTTGATCAGCGACTCGTGATTAGCAATGGTTTAGACAGTTTAATTTTCTCTCTTATAAGGATTCAACTAACGGGTGTACCATTAGATTTCAACTAATCATTTTTTATTTGATTTGTTGCATTTAACTAGGAATGATGCGAACGCATCAAAGCAACAAACGGACTTAGCACTTTCTCCTATCTTCTTTCTCTTCTCTTTCTCTTCTCTCTTTCTCATCTATTTCCAATGTATCAGATTTACTATGTAAGATAAATTCGAGATCGATGCGCTTCTATCTAGTTTAGAGAGTAACAGACGAGTATAATTTCATATACTTCATATACATATGGCTCATAAATATCAACCACTTTCTAAGTTATCATTTTTTTCTTCTTCTTCTGCATTTTCTTTTCTTTTATTTTTTTTTTTTCTTTCATTAACGCCTTATTCCTTAATTAATTTATTTATTTTTTTGTTTGTTTTCTAAATCATATCGTTTAATTAAATTTGTTCAAACGAGAATATTATCTCGTAAATACCTCGTAAAAATATCTCATTAAAATCTGTCATTTCTATGATATTCGTATAATCTAGGGAGGGGAGGGGGTAATTATTTTTCTTTCGCGCTGTTTTTTTTTCTTACTTTTAAATTCCCGTTGCAATGGAAAATGTAATCCCTCTGTTGGTTTACTTTCGTTTAAAAGCCTACGAGACAGTAAAGCATAGGCAATGTCCTGCATCGGTGCATACGAATTACACACGGACGACACACCATCTTCATTTTTACTCTTCTTCTTCTTCTTCATTTTATTATTATTATTATTATTATTATTATTCTCCTCCTGTTTATTCTTCTCGTCATAAAACATATGAATTCGTCGATCCGTCCTTCACCTAGTTGAGCAAAAAGCATGTCGCTTATATGTATACATCATGCATACATGAATGTGCATACATGAATGTGCATACCAACATGATGCAACAGGATACGCAGGGTACGGAGAAAGGATTCGAATGGACAATATTTTCCGAAGTATCGTTCATCATATCATTACTTATTTTATACGTAAACGATTATTATACTTCGTTAAAATATCGTAAAGTTTCATTTTTTCTATTTTCCCCTTTTGGCTTCGAGAAAAAGAAAGAAAGAAAGAGAAAGAGATTTTACTAATTTTATACTCGTTTATTACATTATCATATATAAATAAATAAGAAATCTTGAAGAATTTTTCATTCAACTTTTTATAACCTCAAATCAATTTTCGAAGAAGAGAAATTTATTCTTCCGTTATATTATATATTTAAATCGGCCAAGAGACGAAATATAAAAAACAATTAAAAGATACAGTTGGTGTTTTTTTTTTTTTTTTATCTTTCCGAGATATTTCGTTCCGGTAGAATAATTTTGTCATCTTTCATAGATCAACCGATTTGATTATCCAAGAGAAACTATCATCGGAAACTATTTATTAGCTTGTCCAATAAATGACAAAATGTTGAATAAAAAAATTATAAAGATTATTTATTTTATTAACGATCGAATATGAGTAAACGAACGAGAGAAGGAAAGTCAAGAAACTTGATGATTTCATAGTAATATAACAATACGAGATTACAATTGGTAGACGAAAAAAAAAGCTCATTCATCGTCGAAGAATACTTACATTTTTCTTTTTAATTATTTACCATTCTTCATTATCATTACAATACGCTACTCGTCATTGTGATTCCAACAAGGTAGAAAATAAGCTTCTTTAACTACGTTCTTGGTGATTTTATGTACAGAGCAAACTAAAAGTACGTACGATGAGATTTGAACTATCGATTATTCTATTTTCTAATTTCTCATGTTAATATTTATTTAACAGATTATATAAAATTACAATGCAAGCAACTTTCACGTAATTTGAAATAAAAATATTCGATAAAATGAATAACGAGTCACGAAAGAAAATGGAAATAAAAGAACAAATTGATTGATTGTTATAATCATGTGTGAACTTTTGGCCCATCTTGTACTGTTAGGCGAGGAAAACCTAACTCACGTTGTCGTCGTTAGCCTAACGCAAATGTTTCGCGTGCCAGAGGTTTCTTCTAGTCGTTTTATCCTTTAAACTGGCCACACGAGTTTTCATTAGTTTAAAGAACCGCAATTGTAAGAGAATGTATGAAACGATATTCGCGGTGTGTGTTACGCATCTCGTTTATTACCTTTTAAATGTTTAATAGTTGTACTCGTATAGTTCGTCTCAAACGGGACGGTAAATCCCAATGTAAATTTCTCTTCTCTGTCATGCAGATAAATACTATTTATTAACGACGAGTAGTCCAGTCTCTTCTTCCTCGTTCATACAAGAAAGAAGACCACTTTCGCGAATTGAGAAATATAATTAATATCTATTTGTTAATTTTTCACATGATCAATTTTCTTCTCTCACAGTTCGACATTTTTCATCTAATTGTAAGTCTCACATTCGCTTGAAATATATTTTTATCGTACGTATGTAAAATTATCTGATTGACCTCTTTCAAAATTTCTATATTAATATGAGATTTATTCCGTAAATAAATAAATAAAATCGGTATGTTAAAAGATCATTAGTAAAAAGATACATGGGGACCCGTTTTCTTCGTGTTATTCTCAAAATGAAATTACAAAAATTATATATTACGATATACGAATTTTGTATACATTCGTTTACCCAATATTCGCATTAAAACGAGTCAGTATTCAAATTCGAATGGCCTCCTCGTTTTAATAGAAAGTTCGTAGGAAGGAACATTGCGAATAATTATTTAAACGCGCGAAAGCGTTCAATTCTCGACACGCGTGTAATATTTTAACGTTGTAAAAACGATATACGTTCGATATTCCTTCTTTCGTTCATAAACAAAAATTCGATCAAATAATTCATTTTTCTTGTATCTCGAAAATTTAACAAAAATACGTGTAAATATAATTCAATATATATTATATAAAATGTCATCTCTCAAGAATAAAAAAAAGAAATCAAATTGAATCGGAACGGAAAAAAAATGTTTGTCCTATTTCAGTAAGATATTGTATTTACTTCTCGATAAACTGTAAAACAACGTTGTCGAAACAGTTACGAAGATGACAGTGTAATAACAGTATATGCAGTTTGCTACAGTTATTCGCTAAATCATCATTTTCGACGTGAGAAACAAATAAGAAAAAAAAAAAGAAGAAAAGAAAGAAAGAAAGGAGAGAAAAGCCGAGGAAAAGAAAAAGGATGGTTTCTTGCGCAAGGATATGAAAAAAAAAAAAAATAATAATAATAATAATAGGCCAGGAGAGTTGAGTAAACGAGGAAAGAATTAACCGATGTTAGAAAGATGTTAACGATTCGATCGAATTAGATCAAAAAGGAGGCAGGTGTCGTTTACGTAACTATGAAATTACGGAAGCAATTTCTTCTTTTCTTCTTTATCATCATCATCATCATCATCATCATCATCATCATCATCATCATCATCATTGTCGTCGTCTTCGTCGTGGTCGTGTTACTTCATCGACTAGAGATTCTGTCCACGAAGCATTATTTCGATTACGTGACTTTCAGATCGAGAAGCAAAGCTAATAATCGTTTGATCTCACATAAAATGTTTCATAATATATGTTTTTTATAATCGAAATAGGAATAGGGATATATTACTGAAAAAATATTAAACGAGTTCGCGAAAATTTGTGTTATTACGATCGTATATCGTATTTTCTAATTGAAAATTAATCCTAATCGGATTGACTGGTCAAATTGAATTCCCCTATTTTCTATGAGAGATAAAATTTGATTATCTATTTTAACTTCATTGTGTTTTGTAACTATATCTTTATATTAATTTTACCTGAACTCTTTTTTTTTTATATATATATAAATTTTGTAATTAATGAATTTGTATAGTCAAATAAAAGAAATAAAATTACAGGAGACCAACAACAAGGGTCGTACCAATGTCTCCAAGAAGATGTCGAGGGATCGATCAGGCTCGGATTATTCGGAAAATGCTAGCGATGTAACAACGTGTAGCTGCATGGCTAGTTCCGTCGAGAAAGTAATTATTCGCATAACAAAAATTGTAATACCATTTTCTAAGAGAAAACGCATCGGTATCTTTGCCTATTAGCATTTGTCGATAAGATTAATTCATCAATTTTCGAGAGAGATAAATAAAATGAATGAATTCTTTTTGACTTTGAATATTCGATTGACTTTCACGTAGTGTTCCCTGCGTGGTTGCGGTGGCAACATGTTTCAAGAACCTTTTTTTCTCCACCCACCTGGATCGAGACCGAGAGATGGGATTTATATAAATCCAATGAGCGCATACATAAACGAGCCGCAGAAACCAAAGGACATGGAATCCTTTTATTTGCACAGTCCTCACGATCTCGTCTATACCAGGATTACGCATCTGTTCAACGACGTTGAGAAACCACGGAACGGTGTCTTGGTATCCAACGAACAACGTCACGTTGAGAGGAAAGACGAGACTTTAACTGGTAAAGTAGCACGTCCTAGATATCAAAATGTTAACTATGTCTCCAAACGCGTATAATACGTATATAGTATACATATATATATATACATGATTAGATCTTTAATTCTTCGAACCCATATAATAATAGGTGTATCTTTATAAAATTATCTTCAAGATTTTTTTACATTATTATTTTTCCTATAACTTTCCATTAACAGATAATAATCAATCGATATTATCTTTTGTCGATAGATTTAATAAATTCAATATTGATATATATATATATGTATGTATGGCTCAACAACAAAGATTACGACATGAACAATTTCACAAAATTATATCCACTCTTTGTTGGTAATGTATTATTAAATCTTTTATAGACTAATATAATCTCTCTCTATCTCTTTCTCTTTTCTTTGTAATTGTCGAGCAAAGAGAGAACACTTGTATAGGGTCCACATGAAAAAGAGAGATTACGTGGGCAACGACGTGAATATGTGCCGCGGGAAAAACGGTCTATAGAAATGCACGTGATTTGTCTCTCGGAACCCGTTCAACCGTTATAACACTGATGCTTTTGTGGAGACGTTCGCTTTTCTGAACAACCATGAATATATATATATATATATATATATATATATATATATATATGTGTGTACTCGTTCAAAGAATACCGGTTGTTAAGTATTTCGATCGTGTTCTTTCAAATTTATTACCAAAAGATAAGACTAAAGTTCTTAAGTAAATCTAAAAATTCTTAGGTAGGCCTTTTTATGATGATCCCTTTTAGATCGGTAATTTCAATCTCTTTTACGCATATCGATTTGATAAAAGATTATGTTGTTTTTGATGTGAGTGTGATTAACTGGACAACTCGTTAATATCTTATCTCTGAAGGATCGTTTAAGTTAACATCAAGATGAACGATGAGGTCAACATCTTCTCGTTAATTTTTCACTCGGAACGTTACACGGTGAAAGTTTAACAACGTTTGTGGTAGTATTTTATACAACTTGGCTCACGAAACCGCAAAGATTCGCGTGATGCTCGTTCTATGGAATCTATATAATATTATATATATATATATATATATATGTAGATAGATAAATATATGTTTAACTATATTCCTACGTGCGCGTGTATGCAAGCATATATATTTATATTATATTTTTATTACATATATCCGTTCCTTTTGGTTTGCTTGCAGTGAAAGTGGACGTGCACATAAACAACGGTGGTAGCTTCGGTAAAACTCATCCAGGGAACGGTCATACAGGGAGACAAGAAATCACCCGAGAAACCCCATCGGAACATGCTTACGAACAAATTTGTTTGAGGCAAGAAGAAACAAGCAGCGTTGCTTCGTCCGGCAATAAAAAGATCATCGATAATGCTTCGGATAGTAGGTGAGTACAAATAATTGTTTAAGTTAATTACAAAATGACAACGAGAGAGATAATAATTACCTATCTTGTAATAATTTATTGTTCATTTTACGAGCAAAGTGAGAATTCTATCTTATGTCTTAATTTTTCTTTGTTTGAACTAACCAAAGCTAACGTCAACCAACAATCTATTATATGTACGTTACATGGGTTTTGAGAAAGTGCTTGTCGTTTTGTTACTCGAACGAAAGTGTAATTAACTATCGGAATTGTTAGCAAGACGAATTTGCAAAACAGGTTGTCAAGGAAAGTGTATCCAAGTATTTTTATTTTCTGTACCATTGTACGTTCATTCTTTTTGTGCATTCGAACGAGTTAATCGGTTTATTTAATCCGATGACTATGCACAAGAGATCACCGAAAGAGAGGTCTTTCAATTCTCTTAACTTTTCTTAAACTATCGAATGTTGGGTTCTATCAAAAGATCGCGATTTCTTTTCATTTTTTTTATTATTTTTTTCTTCTTCTTCTTCTTTTGCAATTGATGCATAATGAATAGTTCCATTTCCTGCTCCATAAATATTATTAGAATGTTCTAAACTTCTAATTTATTTCGTTACTTTCTATTTCAAAGAAAAAAAAATTCATTTCCATTGCTTGCTAGCACGCGTTAAATATTTAAACATTTTCATATATCTATCACACATCACATTCGCGATAGGAAACTTGTTGTAATTCACATTCAATCAGAAATAAATTGAAATATTCATTTCCAGGTTTACGATAATTTTATCTCGTATCTCGTTGGTTCGTGCTAATTGTAAAAGTTTTGTAATATAACTGAACGAGTTTTTTTTTTCTTTTATTGTTCTCTTATAAGTCTAAATATTATTAATCAAAATTATATTAACGGCAAGTGTTATAATATAATATCGAAGTATCATAATATAACGTGAGATACATAATCGAGAGAGATAAGAGTTTTATAATAAAGAAAATAAAAACATATATACTACAGGTGTGTAGTAGCTGTGGTCAGCGTAAACGGTAATCGTCTTTCTCTTTCTCTTTCTCTTTCTCTCTCTCTCCAAGTTGGCGAGAAGAGAGATAAGTCGTGATCGCGAAATATAAACGGTCGGAAGGTAGCTCGTCGAGTGAAATCGTCATCGGGGCGTCGTTTAAGCCGGTTGTGAGTTTGTAAAATGTTATCTAATAATATCAAGTGGTACGCTTTGAATTTCGTAAGAATCAAGGTAACGAGAAATATTTGTCAAAGTTAGAAAGAGAAAGAAAAAAAGAAAGAAAGGAAAAAGAAGAGGATGAGAAGGTGGAGAAGGAAGAGGAGGGAGCAACGGGATAAAAGAGAGAGAGAGACAGAGATTGGTTGGTTGGTTGGTTGGTTTTGATTTAAGAATCTAAAGATAAAAATATTTCCGTTCATCGAACTTTCCAGTCGATCAAGGAAAACCAATCGACGATACAGCAGATCCAGTAGTGCCAGTGAATCTTCGAATATGAGCAGCGAGATACATTGCTTTTCATCAACTACGTCAACACCATCATTGTCTCGTAACAGTAGCAACGAACGAATCAACAAACCACCACCACCCACCACTACCATCAATACCAACAAGATTAACGCGGAAGTATTGCATGGTATGTTAATTATATTCAATTAATTTCTTGTTTTTTTTAGTCCTCATCCCTTTCAAATTGTAAATGCTGCTTCTTTGTTATTTTTTTTTTCTTTTCTATTGCTATTGAAAATAAATTCATTGAGATTATTCGCGTCTCTCGTTTACGTGTCCAATTTGTTTTATCTAATCTGTTTGGTTAATCCCCCCCCTCCCCCACCTCCTCCTCCTCCCTCAATTGATCGAACGTAACGTCATCGTCGACGACGTTGTCTTCTCTTTGATAATTTTCAAAAGTAATATTATTATATTATTTGTATTTTGAATTTGAAATTTTGTAGAAAGGAAAGAGTCGTCCCCGACGATCCAAGTGGAAAGTGAAAAGGATATAAGGCCAAGTAATACTAGTGGACCCGGGTAAGTAGGCTAAATCGATGAACATTCAAAGAAAAACGATCATCGATCGCGAAAGTAGACCGAATCGAGAATCACCTACTTGCGCCAATATATTTCTTTCTAAATATGATCGTTATTATTATTATATATCCGGTATATTATAATATTATAAGTGGATACGACATCCACGAGCCGATGATACCTATCATCCTGTTAACAAAATCAAATCAAATCGAATCTAATCGAATCGAAAAAAAACAAACAAAAAAAAAAGCCAAGGATATCGTGAAACACTTTCATAACAGGATGACAGCAATTGTAAAACTTGAAATTAAAATACAACCTATATATGCATATATATTATAAGTATACCGTGCACAATTTTTCTGATTTTTTCTTTTTTTTTTTATATATACATATAGAAATGTTGTCTTCTTACTTTTTGTCCAGTTTCGCCAAGCCCCCGCCCCCGCCACCTCCCCCACCGCCAGACAGAGAGGACGTCGTAGTATTAGTTGTGAATTCAAAGCAAAATGGTGAAAGCAATAACGAGAAGAAGGATAGTAATAGTGACAATGGCGAGGAGAACAAAACTGGAAACGGTAAACGTCTTTTTTTCTTTTTTTTTTTTTTTTTTCACGTTAATTACGGTCATTATTTCCTATTATTTTATTTCGCGAATAGGTTAAAAAAAAAAATTAAGAAAAAAGAAACGAAAAGAAAAGAAAAAGGAATATAATAATGAAATGTATTAAGGAAGTGCATCGATAATGATCGATATTTATCGCGATCCAGAAGATCTCTCTCTCTCTCTCTCTCTCTTTTTCTTTCGAGGAAGTGAGATCGTTCGAGCGCAACTCCGTTTGAAAAGAATTTCCGAAGTTTTACATCGAAAGCGCGTCCTCGTGTAAAATATAGATAATTTGGTCGATTCGCTCGAAAGAATCTCCTTGTATTATAAGCGCACGTGCACAAGGGCATGTGCATGTGCATGTGCATGTGCATGTGCATGTGCATACGCACGTGTGCACAGAGTTATACTTATACGTACGTATAATACTCGGACCCCTTTCTTTTCCGCATAGACTTACCAATAACTTTAAACGTCCTTGCAAAGTACGTATATATATCTGATAAAAAAACATAGGTGATGTTTTATATATATTACCGTTGTATAAACTCATTTTTGTATCTTTTAATACAAGATTATAGAGAAACTTGTTTGGCAAACATTAAATTTCTTATGTTGTCTTCAGTATATCTATAAAAAGTTATATTCATGAAATGACGAAAGATTAAATTTCTTTCAGTATGATTGCTCGAAGAGAATAAGACAAGTTGTTTGAACGTCTAATAGTGTCGTAAAACCTAATACAGATATATTGTATATACCGTTGTTACATTCTTTAAAGAAAAGAAAATAAATGGACGTTAGCGTGAAAATAATCTGAAGATAGATACTAATTCGCCAATTAATAGGAAAGAAGATGATGTGAGTCTAGTAATAGAGACGTTAATTAAAGTCAGCAACAGCAGCAAAGTACACCAGTTGGTAATCGGTTGGCACCCAATTTAGGGTGCTTCGTTGGCCTTTTAATTAAAACTGTTAGCGGATCACGAGCACGGACACTTACTAGACCATGTCGATCAACAGGCATATAATATACTTACCTAGATTTCACTTACTTGCTGTATACCCAAGTCAATGTCCAGTTTATACACATACGCACACATTGATTCAAACATGTAGCGCGTATAGTTTGTAGAGTAAAGTAAGTCTTTTAAGCAGAGATATAATGAATAATCTCCCCTACCACACTTTTCTCTCTGTCTCGGAACAGCGACCAACAAGACCGACGTATCCTGCGGCGAACATCAACAGCCGGAAGTTCCTCCTGCCAGTCCACCCGCGGACGTCGAAGAAATTAAAACGATTCAGTCGTCTCACTTGATAAACAGACATATGGTCTTACCGTTCATACCACCAAAGTTTGCCAACGCGGCCGATTCGGATACATTATTGAAACCATCGGAATATCTTAAAAGTATTTGCAAAAACGTCTCGAAGAATACCCTTTCCAAAGCAAGGTCGGTACAATTTCATCATTTATCTTCTCTTTCAAATTTATTATTAATATTCTATTACCGTTCTTTATCGAGACGAATGATCATTTTTTACAGATCTGTCGACAATTTGGATTGTCAGGGAAGGGATACCGAAGAAGAAGAAGAAGAACGGCAACAACAGCAACAACAACAGCAACAGCAGCAACAAGAACAAAAGAACGAAAAAGAAAAAGAATCTCCTCCAGGACCACCACCCCCTCCGTTATCCCCATTGCAAAAATCTCGTGGTATTCCAAACTGTAATAATACCAACGCAACTGCTAGTCCTTCCAACGAATCTGAGAATTCGAAATCAGCTCAGCAACCATTAGCTACCATTAGTATCCAAGATCTCACGAGTATTCAATTGAGAAGAACTAATACAAAAATGAATGCAACTAAAACGTTTTCCGCTCCGCCACCTCGTAGCGCATCGATGACAAATGGTACGTTATAAGAAAACTAATCATCTTGATCGTTTATGTATTATTATAAATAATTATTCACCTTTCGTGTTTTTCCAGTCTCGGAACCGTTCTTCGTTCAGAAAACAGACCTGATAGCTGAATTAAAGAGAACAAAGGATATACCGGGCATAAAAAAACTGAAAGTGGAACGAGCACAGGTTGAAAAGACTCAAGAACAAAATTTAATATCCGAAATTAGCAAGGCTTTCAATGTGTCCAAATTTGTTGACCAAGTAAATAAAAAAGAAATAAATTATAAATTCATTATAGCCTGGTCACACAATTTACAGTTACTTTAAATTTCTCTTTTTCTGTTTTGCTAGATACCAGAAAAGGATAGCTCGGGGAACGTGATACCAATATGGAAGAGGCAGATGTTGGCGAGAAAGGCTGCTGAAAGAGCTAAAAAGGAATTAGAAGAACAAATAGCTAGGGAAAATGAGGAAAGGAGACAGAAAGCGATACCACCATGGAAGAGACAGTTACTTGCTAAAAAAGACAACGAAGATAAAAAGTACGGACCGATAGATACCAAACGAGTTTTTTTTTGTTCTTTCACATTTCAAATATTACTTTCATTTTACCTTGATATTTTAAACAAGTGGCACGTTTAAATACGAACATAATTGATTTATTTAACATGTAGGAGTAACAACAATCACGTTCAATCAAACGCAACGACCATTCCAGCCGTAAAAATAGAAATTGCACCTAAGAGGGACGTTTCGCCAGCCACCGCCGGCTGCAACAATCGAAAGGAGGAAAAGAACGAGAACAACACGGATGAAAAGGGAAACGATCCGAGGGATGAGGATTCCGATGATGGACAGATAATACCGTGGCGAGCTCAATTGAGAAAAACGAACAGTAAACTGAATATTCTCGATTAGCCGATTTGTTCGACGAAATACTAAACAGACCCGGGATATTACGCAGACCTGATTCATTTTAATATTACGAATTGCTTTGCGATTTCCTATTTTTTTTTTGTTTTGTTTTTTTATGTTAAAGATTTGTGATCGTTCGATAACATAAGGATAATTTCCTTCACCGACGTCATTTCTTTATCAGGGGTGCTCTCGAATCTTGCAAGATCGATGCAGAGTGATAATCTTTAATGATATTGTTACTATTATAAACCGAATGATGAAAGTTCGTATGATTGAAGCATGATAATTAAATATTGAAGCAAAGTGGAACATATATGTTTCGTTGTTGAAACGTATTTTTAAAAGACACCGAATGAATGAATCGAATGAAATTGCGTGTTTTATCAAATCGACTAGTTCAATAGGAAGGTATTTTGTATTTACATAGGGAACTTTTCTTCAACAAGGTGCGCGATACGTCTATGTATATAAAAATAAGTCAAACTTGTCTACCTTATATATATATAATAATATAATATATATATTAAATTATCAGCCGTATATAAAAGAAAGTTCGTATGTTTTACGTAAAGATTCCTTAATGATTAAATTATAATTTTTCTTAAAAATATATTGTACATATACTTAAATTTTAACATTTCACCTAAATATGAATAACTATAAAAACGATTAATTAATTCAAACGGTGAGTAAGTAAGCTACTCCAGTGAGCCATTATAACGGCACATCGACCTGGAAAAAATATTCGTAAAAGCCACTATTGTGGCAGGCCGGCTAAGCACCATATCGGTAATAGTAGTGATCTACCTTTTATCTATCTATCTATCCATCGGTAACGGTAGTTTTCTGCTTTTACAACACCGAACGTCGGTAATAGTAGATTTCTAATTTATTTTACTTTACGTCGGTAATACTTTATATTAAGGTTACTGACGATCAATAGTATTAAAGTAGAAACTACTATTAACAACGATTGATATTGTAAAAATAGGAACCTATAGTGGCTCACTCGAGTAGCTTACTTATTCGTCATTTGAATTAAATAATCGTATTCATGTTAATATTTTAGTACGTGTACAATATATTTTTAAGAAAAATTATAATCTAATCATTAAGGAATCTTTACGTAAACCATACGAACTTTTTTTATATACGGCTGATAATATCGTTCTGTAAAAAACTGATGCGGAATATGTTTGAATCGATCCATCTGATCAGAGGAAGGATCGATCCCAAGGGGTTGATATGTGCGCATGAAAGATAGACATGCGCTGTATAGCGATTTAGAAATAAGAACGGTGGTAAAACAAAGAATTTTTAACCAAAACAAACATGGACACGCAGTAGTGATAGAAAACGTCTTCCTTACTTTCCTACCATATATATTATACCATATATTTTTAAGATCGCACAAAGATGAGCCCTGGACTGGGTCACGACCCTTTGCCTTCCTATAACGTCACGTCAGTAGGTCAGTTAAAGAGTATAATTTAATTAGTATCTATTTTTTTTTATCTCTATTATAATTGTCTTCATTCTGTCACTTCTCTCTTCATCTATTATCTTGTCTATTCATTGAGCGAAAATTCACAATTTCTTTTTCTTTATCAGGTAATACCGCACTGTGCCTATGGCAACAGCCACAACACATATTATTCCAGTTAGCGAATTTCTGCTTTGCACTCTCTTACTCAGCACCGTCCTCGAAGAAGGGTATATTGTTTATGCACTCAGTTTTAATCGTCGGTATGTCTGCCTATTTGCGATACATCTTTTTCTTGTCAATACCAATAAAAAGAAAGACATCTTTAATAAAAATAATAAAAATCAACGTTTTTACTTCATAGGTTTTATGTTGCTGTCCGGATGGGCATGGCACGTGATCTGTGCACCAGATATCTTCTCCTGGAACTTTACTTTCTTGTTGTTAAATATTGGACAATTGGTTTATATCGTTTATCAAATGAGACCGGTCAGGTTTGATCCTGAATTGGAAGAGGTCTATCACACACTTTTTTATCCTTTTAAAGTAAGTCTCAGTGAGTCACCTTGTTATAGAAAAAAAAAAAAAGAATAGTTATCACTCGTTAATATGATTCGAGCAGGTATCAAGAGCACAATTTAAAAGACTAGTGTCCCCAGAGCTTGCAACGGTGATGTCCCTTCATACTGGTGAAGCATATGCAATGCAAAACTTAACTAAAACAGACAGACTAGGTCTATTACTCAGTGGTAGAGTCAATGTTCTTAGTGACACCAACTTTTTACATCCAATTCTACCCTGTGAATTTTTAGACTCGCCAGAATTTGAAAGTTCTAGAGCATCTAGAGATGATAAATTTAAGGTACGATCAATGTACTTTTTCATATGAAATATCGATTAGAATATTCCTTTTTATAGATTTATATTTTCATTCTATAGGTCTCAATAGTTGCTGCTAGTTCTTGTAAATACGTCTACTGGCAAAGATCAGCTTTGGAATATCTTCTTGTTAAAGAAGCCTATCTTGCAACAGTCTTAACAACTTTAGTTGCAAGAGACATTGCTACCAAATTATATGCAATGAACAATAAGGTAACGAGATATAATCATCGATCCTTATCAAGGATATATCTCTAATAGAATCGTATTATTTTTCGACGACTTGTTAGATAGTTACAGAAAAAGGTTCGCATTTGGATATTCGATTGCCTACTATTAACGCTGGAATAGGACTCAGTGGTGATCATAGGAGTCCTCGAACATCTAGGCAAACTTTGATACATAGAAAAGATACAAACCCTACGTCCAACAATGGTAAATCTCTCTGTATATTCTTTGGACAAATTATCAAGAAAAAGTTTCAAATATAATAGAAACAAAATTGTATTTAACTTTTAGTGGCTGGTGCTAAACCAAAAGAAAGAACGACAAACAATCTAAGTAAAAAGGGTGCACCTAACATGGAACCTCTGCCAGAATTACCGTCCTGTGATGATCTCGCATCGAGTGGTGTAGAAAGTTGGCTAGATTCGTCTAGCAAATATCATAGCTGTGAAATTGTCGATGAGGAGTGACGATACGCTTATCATGCAAGCTACCATTGTCCAATGGAGGACGAGCAAAAGTGCATCGAACCTAATTGTCTCCTTTACGAGATGATTACGCGAGAAGTTTAACGATTTTAGTCCAATTTGATGAGAAGGAGAATTTAAGGAAGATAAATTATAAAATATAAACATAAAAAATGAGAGAAAAAAAGAGAGATAGAAGTACGACAGAAGACTGCAAATTTTTTCAATTACCAGGTAGAAGTTAACTTTGTCATGTTGTGTATGAATGCACCAAACTAATTTATAACTTGAGAACGAATACTCAACCAATCGATGATGATTGGAAACGTGATATTATGTTTATAATGAAACTGGAAAATGTAAAAATAATAGGTAATTTAATCGATGGTCGTTGCAATTGTTGCTGTGTGTTTCTAGAGAAATAAAGAAAGAAAAAGTTCATTATTATATATTATATATATATACATATATCTCCAGTTGGGGACAGGCACACAAAGGAATGGTCAATTTTATGAAAGATACGAGAAAGATAAATTATACATATATATGTATATATGTATATATATATATTACGTATCTATGTGATTAAATTGCACGACGAACAAACTCACCAGTAGCAATAAATAATTAAACAAATTCGTACGGTCTCTCGTGGTTAATATATGCCGACCAATCAGTCGGTTCATTTTTTGGTCTACACGGTATAGAATCTAATAATATATCGTTTTGTTGTAATAAACAATTTAAATAATAATTTCCCAATGAATTTCTCTTATCATTCCTTTTTTATTTGTAATTTTGTTTAATAAAAATATTATACATTTATTTTTATAATATAAACGCAAGAATATGACGTATTTAATATAAAAGTTTTTTTTTAAGTTTTAGCAGGTCTGCCATCTATGAAAAATAAAATATCCCATATAGTGACTTGTGAAACACATGTTTCTGAAGAGAAACGTTGTTTGAGTTTATTTCGAAGGAAATTATCGTATTTTTCAATAATATTTATATAAATTTATTTTAATTTGCTATAAATTCATTGAATAATAAATAATTTATTTTTCCAAGTGATTTATAACAAAAATATAATAATAATAATATATAAAAGAATAAAGCCACTAGTTAAACTATATTTAGTATAGGAGGGTGTATGTGCAATCTCAAAACCATAACCTTAAAATAATGAACTGCAGTTTTTAATCCGTGTGAATATTATTAATACAATGGAGCCTAAGGAAAATTGGGATGAGGATAATGAAATACTTGTTGAAAATGAAAAGAAAAGCGAAGAAATTATTCCAGGATTCGCTTCGTTCGATGATTATCTTAAGGAAGCATTTAGTGTTATAAAAGATGGGATCAAAGCATCTAATAATTTTCCCATCGAAGAGAATTATAATTATTATGAATGTTTTCCAAGTTTCAATAAAGTAAAAAATGACGATTCGGAAAGACTATTAAAGATGATGCAAAAAATAATTAATTTATCAGGGGTAGGTGGCAACATAGGAAGACGCGATATCGAAGAACAATTTGATCTTTTATTGGAAACGAATGATGTGTATTTAGATAAAGCAGGTTTATGTATGGATGAAGAAAGTGGTATTGTAAAAAATCCTGAAATAGAATTAGTTGTATCGCAAACTAGGAAGGATATTACAGCCGGTAGTTGGAATATATCATCTACGATTAAGAAACAATCATCGGATGCATCTACCAAAGCACAAGCTGTGCGTTTATTGACTGCACGAAATATACAAAGACCACAATTAACTTTCAAAGACAAAATTGATAATAGTCTAAAACCTTGGGAACCTAAAATCAAATATAAACCAAATTCTTTAAAGCCTTTAGCTATTTATTTAGAAGAGACCGAAGATGGAGAGGTATTTTGTCATCCTTATGATTTTGAATTAAATAAATTTCAAGCTCCAGAAAATCAATTACAAAAAAGAGAACCTGTTAAGTATAAAGAATTGCATGAAACCCCGTTGATTATGGTAAACAAGCCGGAAGACATCAAAATGTTATTAGATGATTTAAAGAAATATAAAGAGATTGCTGTTGATTTGGAACATCATTCTTACAGAAGTTTCCAAGGTATAACTTGTTTGATGCAAATATCAACTGTAGATACAGATTATATAATTGATACATTGGTATTAAGATCAGAATTACATGAACTCAATGAGATTTTTACCAAACCTACTATTCTAAAAGTGTTTCACGGAGCGGACTTTGATATTCAGTGGCTTCAAAGGGATTTGTCCATATATGTAGTAAACATGTTTGATACTCATCAAGCTGCTAAACAACTTAATTTACCATATTTAAGTTTAGCTTATCTTTTAAAAAAATTTTGTAATGTAGATCCAAACAAACACTTTCAACTTGCTGATTGGCGTATAAGACCTTTACCTGATGAACTTTTAAAATATGCAAGAGAAGATACGCACTATTTATTGCATATAAAAGATGTTTTGAGAAATGCATTAATTGATTCTTCAAATGGGAAGACTAACATTTTAAAGGCTGTATATGATAGAAGTACAGAGTTATGTAAGATAACTTACATAAAACCGATATGGACAGAAGAAAGTTATATGGATATGTATAGAAAAAGTCAAAAAATATTTAACAATAAGCAAATTTATGCTTTAAAGGAATTACATAAGTGGAGAGACATGACAGCTAGAGAGGAAGATGATAGCACTGGTTACGTTTTACCAAATCATATGCTTCTAAATATAGCTGAGACATTACCACGTGAGATGCAGGGTATCTTGGCTTGTTGCAATCCAATCCCACCTTTGCTTCGGCAAAACCTATTAAAACTTCATAAAATTATACTCAAAGCACGAGATCAACCTCTCATAAAACCAGTGGAAGAAACAGATGTTAGACCACGATTTGCTCAAAGAAATCATGCGGTAAACTCAGATGCTTGGACATACTCTCCTCATGACATACCAAGCGATGCAGAAGCTAGAGCCGATTTACCTTGTCTCTTAGATCAATGCAAAATAACAGAAAAATCATATAGCAATATTAATTTAAAACATACCATTACAGTATTCGATAGTTCAGAATCATCTGAGGTAATTAATAATATATAAATCATATTTTATTTTTATATATATATATATATATATATATATATATATAAATATTATTTTAAATTTTCTAGGATGAACAATCGACTTCTGATAAGACTAATCAAAATAGAAACAAAAAATTCATATTCATTAGTCCCTATGAAAGATACAAACGTGTAATACCTGTAGTAGCTGAACAAGAAGAAAAAGATAGACAAAAACAAGAAAAAGAAGAGGAAGAAAGATTAAATGAAATGAGGAACAAAGATGAACCTTCGATATCTGTTCCTGATGAAATAACTTTATCAGATCAAAGTCCAAAACTTAAAAAAAAGAAAATGTGTATTCCTTTAAAAGAAATGCCTAATAGAAAAAGAAAGAAAAATCTGTCTATAAAAGATACATCCGAAGAATGGTCTAATAGTAATATGTTTACGCCAATTCCTTCCTTGAATAAAAAGATAAAGCAGGATGTAAGGAGAGAATTTAATACGACCAAAGACACAAAGAATGAAGAAAATAAACAAATAATTGTACAAACTGTTCCTTCTAATGATATTATCAAACCTCTGAGGTAAAAATTTAGACTCAATTAAATCCATTTAAAAAAAAAGCGAATTATAATTTTAATATATTTCTTTTATTTGTAGAGAACGTAAGAAAGGAGATAAAAAGATGAATGAAAAGGAATTAATACAGAAAGGAATGCTTCCTGTAGAAACGTTTGATTATAAATCTGTTGATTTTAATAACGTTTTCCAAGGTGGTAGTACCACAAATGACACACGTCGGACGAACTTTGTGCAGCCTAAAGTAAAAATAAATATAAAGATAATTATATATTATATTAATGTGCATAAAATGTATTAATAATTGATTAATGATAATTTTTTTTCTCTTTACAGCAACGTAAGAAGAGAAATAAAAAAGGGAAGAAAAATAACAAAATTAAAATCTAACTACACAAATATAAATATTTTTTTTTACTACTTATTGTTTAAAAAAAAAATTATTACGTGACAAATTAACAAGCTATGTGTTTATATATAATATATATAATATCTAATAGCGTTATTAGTAAATAAATATTTCAACATACGAATCGATCAAACGATGAGTTTAGAATAGCTGAAGAAAATATCTCTAGATTATACTATATTTACATTTATATGCCTTATCAATAGTTAATGATAGCTTGTGAAAATATAGGAAGCAAAAGGTTATCTATTTCAATAAGTTTAATATCAATTGATGTACGGTTTAGTGTATTCCTTAAGTGTTCAATATCATGATGTTATTGTATATAATATTAACGATTACGTTAAATAATGTTTTATTTGTGAATTGCAACTTTTTGTACAACAAAATTAATTCGTCAAATGAAAGATTGTTCAATTATACTTATACATTGGTAAACAAAACTCATGCTGATTTAATAGATTTTGCTTCTAGTAACGAACAAGTAGATTGTCTTGGTTTAGGAATAATTTTTGCGAACACCTTATCATGGTTTTTTGCTGATAAAGCTAATGGAACAAATGCATTAGATGTTAGATTTCTTTTATCATCGAGAAATCAACCAAACAGAGTACAAGTATATATTGGCACACAGTTTGGTCTAGAATGGACAGATTTTAAAATTGAACGTAGAACTATTGTAATAGTACATGGATTTTTATCTCACAGTGATGAAGAATGGATTGCCGAAATGGAGAAAGCATTTCTCCAATGGGTACACAAAATTAATTGTTTCATTAATAATATATTTCGTTTCATATATATTTATCTTGTTTTTATATTTAATAGAACGACGTTAATGTAGTAATTGTTGATTGGAGCGCCGGAGGTAATACGTGGAATTATTATAAAGCTGCCGTCAATACTAAAATAGTTGGATATCAAATTTCAAAGTATGTTGCACATAAGTAGACTTACTTCTGACATCTGTTATAGTTCAATATATAATGCTATTTATGTCTATAAAGATTTTTAGAACATATTATAAATGCAACAACAGTTGCATCGAATTGGGGTACTATACATTTAGTTGGTCATAGTCTTGGAGCACACATTTGTGGCTTTGCTGCAAAAGAATTTAAGAAGAGACAAAGTAATTGGATCATACATAGAATTACTGGTCTAGATCCAGCGCAGCCATGTTTCAAAAATACATGTTCTTCTATTCATTTAGATAAAATGGATGCACCATTTGTCGACATAATACATACTAATGGAAAATTACTCTCCAATCTAGGTTTAGGTTTACCAGAGCCTATTGGTTTGTTCGTTAATATTATATTATATATCTATTTGTTTTTTATTAGCAATATTGTAATGCATTAATGAATAATATATCCAGGTCATGTAGATTTCTATCCTAATGGTGGAAAAAGTCAGCCAGGTTGTATTGAATCAAACAAAACATATTTTGGCTATTTACCTATTCCACATATATGTAAGATCACATAATTTTTTTTAAATAATTCAGGGTAACTTGAATATTAAAGAATTGATTTATTTTTAGATATTCAGCAAGCAATATGCAATCATGGTCGCTCTTATATATATCTCATCGAATCTTTGCTATTAACTTCTACGAACGATTGTAGTTTCAGGGCACATTATTGGGACTTGACATATAAAAATATAGAAAAAATAATATCTGAACCATGTAACGAGGATATTTGCATTGAAATGGGTATTAAAGCAGAGAATTATCCTCATCGTGGGACATTTTTTCTATTTACTAATAAAAGTTCACCATATTGCGGTAGATACTATTCTAAATTACTGATCAAATAAACTTTAAACACACGATCATGTGAATGTGATTATTTCAGTAAATGAAACAGAATTACCAGAAGAAGTGAAGAAACAATTGAAGATCGACTACAATGATGAGCTTCACGATTAAGAGAAAGGGAAATACATTATTTTATTATATATACCAGCGCTGTCCAACAGGGCTAGACGGCGCTGATACATACAGATATTATTTACATAAATAAATGCATTTTGTTTATCTTAAAAATACTATTTATATATATAGAGCATTTATATTAATACGCATCGCATTTAAATTACATTTTGACTAATATTTACAATTGGCAACATTTATATACAATTTTTAATGACAAAAGATTTAACCAGTTAGCTCATAGCGTTATAAAATCATTTAAGTTAAATAGTTATAAATGTAAAAAGAACAAATTGCATAAGGACATCAATATTTGTTACTGCACAAGTACCTGTTATATTTCTATAACATGGTTGGTAACATTAATTAAATTGTATGTTTAAAGCTAATTATGGTTTAATCACGTATTTTGTGCGTTTATATCGTCGTTTTAATTTGTAATCATTGGCACTTTGTTCCTTGGTATTTGATAAATAATAATTATATGTGTGTTTACAGAAAAATTATAAAAATACATTGAGTGATGAAGAACATCTTTTAATGTATTACTTGGACATATGTGGCAGGGAAGATTCCAGTTCGTCCTCTGCATTCACCGATCCACCAACCATCTGCCTGTTTTCGATGAACAGTTATTAAATCGCCAGGATTCAGGCTCAATTCGTCATTGAGATTTGCAGCATAATGATATATTGCCCTGCACTGTTCTGTTCTATCTGATTTAGGTGTTTCATCCGTAACGTCAACGTCTTGATTATTATTGTCTTCCGAATGACTACTGAATTCGTCAAAATCGCTGAAGTCTTCTTCATCTGGTGGATTTTCAGAATTACCATCACCAGCCGTTCTATCTGTCCAGTCTCGATTCTCAGTTTCATGTCCCTTTACTAAATGTACTTCTATTTCATCATCGATATCTTGTATCTCAAAAGATTCATTCCTTGCCCAAGAAGGAATCTTTAAAAATGATTAATGGTCGATTATTACAGTCACATATTTATTCGCTAAATATTCCTATTATAACTGCAAAGATACTTATATTATTTACCTTGAGAACACTTTGCTGAAGTCCTTGTTTATCTCTAGAGACTAATATGTGTTCTGCTAATGGGTGCTTATTTCTTTTGCTACCTTCAACTTCCGCTAACGTTCCACCAACCTTATATCTTGCTGCTTCCAAATATAATAACATGGAACGCATCTAGAAAACAATAATTGATTATAAAATATGATGTACCACCTACGCGGATTCCTTTTTCTTCTACTTACATGATGCAATTTGTCCGTAACATTTTGTGTACTTTCATCAGCTGCAAACGCAGGTGTCTTGATAAAAGCTCTATGCAAAGTCTCCAATCCTTCCCTTCCTCGCCTTTCTCTTTCTAAATCTTGTCTTATTAAATGTAGAATTCTAACTAACGATTGTTTTCTTCGTTCTCTGTTCATCGCTAACGTTATATGTTCTGCATAAAAATCTGGAAGTAATTGTTCTGCATTGACCGTATCATTACTTTCAGTTCTACGTATAAGATTCTTCAAAATTTCCACGTCTTGAGATACGTTACAATTTCTTACAGGTGTCGATACGCGATCGGCACTCTAAAAACAACAATAAATAAATAATTAATTAATAATAAATCTCTCTTATTTTTCCAACAAACCACAAGAAAGTTTCTAAAAGATAAATAATTTGTTTACCTGTTGCAAACGGGGAGCAAGAGCCTGCAGATGTGCCAAATAAACATTGGCAAGATCTTTCAAAGCGCTCAAACGTTCCTCTTCGAGGAGTTCCATTTGTTTAGATCCTTTTCTCACAGTATTTTCATATTCCAATCTAGCTCTTTCGGCTCTTACGCTCACCGTGTAAAATTCGGTATCAGCTCTACGAGAAGAGTCTTCGGCTTTCCTCCTCCTAGCTTCTAATTTATTCGCTTCTTTTTCCGTCATATGATGATTAGACGATTTATTGTTATTTTGTTGGCTTTGACTGATCGATTGGAGCCTCGCCAAATCCTGCAGCCTTTCGTTCTCTCTCGCACAAGCAAAACTTTGTTTCTTGGTCTTTGATGCAATGTTACGCCATTCCTGTAGAGACTTTAATGCCTTGTCCACGGAATTTTCAATGGATTTTCTCGAACGACCTTGAGCCTCTGCCACGCCCACCTAAATATTTATTTTTTAATAAATATATCATTGTTTTTAAAAGTTAAGTAAAAAAAAAGTGAGGAAAATAAATAAATTGTAGGCGAATCTTTGAAATGAAATGTCGTAATCGTCGTATAAAACAAGATAGAGAATTTAATGTAGATGGTGATGTCATTCAACACCTACATATATATCTTACAATCAACGATATTTCAGCACAGAATAATTATATTATATCTACGTGTATATATATAACTTACTCTCAAAGGTTTAGCTAGTTGTTCGCCTAACGCAATACCCCATACTCTATGGGCTTCAGCGGCAGCTTCCATTTCTTCTCCGACGCATCTCCATGCTTCGTTCACACCTCCATTACTGTTTCCACCTGTGTAAATAAAATTAATAGTAAATATAAACGCACATTAACGCTTTAACACGAGAAAGAAAAAAGTTATAACGATAATTATTCTCGAGTTTCTCTTACTGAGAGAAAGATATAATAATAGAAATGTTCAGACTTACTTTGATCTTTGGAACAAGCCTTCGTTAATTTACCGCTCAATTTACTTAACCCTTTAGCATACGTTGCTTCCAGTTCAGCCCTAACGAAGACAAATATTTATATGTTACATTTTCAATATATATTTTTATTGTAAATAATTATTATACCTTTCGTGAAGAATCGAGGCCAACTCTTTGCAAAAATCTCCACCTTGTTTAACATATCTCCGAATATCTTCGAATCCACTTTGACCTCCCTTGACAAAAAAAATAAAAAAGCAATCGTACAATATTAATCGTCCGATAAACGAGAATCACAAACGAAATGTTATTAAATATAAACCAAGGATATTTTGAATTTGATTATACTTTTGCAATAAGATTAAACTGGACTTTTAAAAGAAATTAAAAAAAAAAAAAAAAGAAAAAATGATTAGTAAAAATTTAGTTCTCAATCGTTAGATAAGTTTCCACGGTCGAGTTAGAATCTAAGAAGGTCAAAACCGGCTCAGTAATACGTTTCTAACACGCTTGCATAAAGATGTGAGTATAGTTAAAAAAAAAAAATGAAAAAAAAGTATGCGCGTATTCAGTGACGTGAAAAAGGGAAAAATTGAAGGGAAAAAAAAAGAAGAAAAACCACGCATAATCGAAATGGTGAACGGAAATTAATGAAATGTCAAGGAAACTGGATCAAAGGCACGCGTACGTTCGTTCGTTCCTTCCTTTTTTCTTTAATACAAAAAATAGCGGATACTATATTATTTTATTATCTTTGTTTCCTCGTTTAAGTAAACGAATACTATAGAAATCTTTTCTGTCGTCGTTTTATATATTTTTAAAATACTATTATATCTTTTTTTTTCTTAATATAATCCTGCTTTCATTTTTAACATCCTCGTATCATACACGTTTTCACCAATTTTTATTGCAATCAAATTATGCGTTGTTTTAAAACTCTATTTTTGGATTCTACGAATATATTAGAAAATCATGTCACCATGTTTGTTCCCTTCTAACATATTTTTTTTTCGATTATTTTATTAAAGTGAGAATAAATAGAAATGAAGGGGGGGGGGAAGACGAAGGAGGAGGGAGAGTGGAAATCGCAGAAAGTACTTTCTTAAGCATTTAGTTTCACACAATTTCATACGAAATACATACATATCAATTTCTCTCGCACACATTTATCCACAAAGCGGTACACAAATATATGCACAAGCTGATATGTGTGTTAAAGTGTGTGTGAGAGAGAAAGAGAGAGAGATAAATAGCAAAATCGTTTTTCTTTCTCTTCGGTCCATTAAGAAAAGTTACAATTCTACGTGATTTAATATTCTGCGAGATATCTTGGTAAAGCCAATTCGAAAAACATATTTGAATATATGGAAATTTATCATAAATTTAAATAAACTTCATTTATATTAAAAGTAAAAGTAAAAGTGTGTGAATAAATTTTCTTACGATTTGATGTAATAACAAAAAATATATATATATATATATATTTTTTGTTATTACATCAAATCGTAAGAAAATTTATTCACACACTTTTACTTTTACTTTTAATATAAATGAAGTTTATTTAAATTTATGATAAATTTCCATATATTCAAATATGTTTTTCGAATTGGCTTTACCAAGATATCTCGCAGAATATTAAATCACGTAGAATTGTAACTTTTCTTAATGGACCGAAGAGAAAGAAAAACGATTTTGCTATTTATCTCTCTCTCTTTCTCTCTCACACACACTTTAACACACATATCAGCTTGTGCATATATTTGTGTACCGCTTTGTGGATAAATGTGTGCGAGAGAAATTGATATGTATGTATTTCGTATGAAATTGTGTGAAACTAAATGCTTAAGAAAGTACTTTCTGCGATTTCCACTCTCCCTCCTCCTTCGTCTTCCCCCCCCCCTTCATTTCTATTTATTCTCACTTTAATAAAATAATCGAAAAAAAAATATGTTAGAAGGGAACAAACATGGTGACATGATTTTCTAATATATTCGTAGAATCCAAAAATAGAGTTTTAAAACAACGCATAATTTGATTGCAATAAAAATTGGTGAAAACGTGTATGATACGAGGATGTTAAAAATGAAAGCAGGATTATATTAAGAAAAAAAAAGATATAATAGTATTTTAAAAATATATAAAACGACGACAGAAAAGATTTCTATAGTATTCGTTTACTTAAACGAGGAAACAAAGATAATAAAATAATATAGTATCCGCTATTTTTTGTATTAAAGAAAAAAGGAAGGAACGAACGAACGTACGCGTGCCTTTGATCCAGTTTCCTTGACATTTCATTAATTTCCGTTCACCATTTCGATTATGCGTGGTTTTTCTTCTTTTTTTTTCCCTTCAATTTTTCCCTTTTTCACGTCACTGAATACGCGCATACTTTTTTTTCATTTTTTTTTTTTAACTATACTCACATCTTTATGCAAGCGTGTTAGAAACGTATTACTGAGCCGGTTTTGACCTTCTTAGATTCTAACTCGACCGTGGAAACTTATCTAACGATTGAGAACTAAATTTTTACTAATCATTTTTTCTTTTTTTTTTTTTTTTAATTTCTTTTAAAAGTCCAGTTTAATCTTATTGCAAAAGTATAATCAAATTCAAAATATCCTTGGTTTATATTTAATAACANGAAGTTTCTTCATGAAAATGTAAGTTCTTTCATGCATTATTTACCATGGCCCCACCTCGATGTGTGTGTATATATATATATATATATATGTATGCATGTGTATCGAAAGAAATGCGGATTTATTATAAATCGTTTCGATCTTTGAAACTTAAGATTTATTCGCGTTAATTATCTGCGATTAAGTATTCGACATGACCCCCATGTGGAATAGAGCGAGCCTCATTAACGAACACGTTCCTGTTTCTGTGTTGTAATACGTGATAAAAGTTTTATAAATCGGAACAGTGGCCTTCTCGGACGCGCTGTCTCCTTTCGATAGTAATTTCTTTTTCTTTTTCTTTTTTTTTTCATCATTTTATATTATACAATAAAGTATAAAAAAATATTCATATCGAAAAGAATAGGGTAGTTTCTAATTTCGTTCTTAAACAAAAAATTGTATATAATTATTTTATTTGAATGGAAAAAGGACAAAAAAAGAAATACGTGAACAATGTAAAAGCAGGGAAGGAAAATTTTCTCTAATCAAATGATCATAAATACGCACGGCTGGTTTTGTAAACGCGTGCGCACGATTAAAACAAAGTCGGTTATTTTCTCCATGCAGAACTTTCCCACACTTTCCATGTACATACACTACCGCACTTGCCATCGTAAGTTTGCTGACTTTGCTTAGAGAGACCTCGGCACTCTTTTAGATTTATGTATGTTACTATCATTTCTCTTGGATCGAACAGGAAAAGGTGGTCTGTCTTCGAATAATCCTGTCAATAATCCTACGACGACAACTTAGAAATCGACACTTGTTTGATTTCAAAAATAATATAAAAAGAAATTATCTTAATCGAAATGTAGACCATGTCAAGTCGAAAGACAACATAGAAAATCATTAATGATTCGTTCAATTTTGCTATCGTTAGGATTTTTAATATAGTTATACAACGCAAATCTGGCACGTTGTGAACTCATCGAACAAAAAAAAAGTATATATAATAATATAATAAAATGATCTCGGAAGTAGAGAATAATGGCACGTATAATGTCATTGGAACGAGATAAAAGCGATAAAATTTCCCTTATTAAATTTAAACAGAACAATAATATGTATTCTCACCGGAAAGAAAGGAAGGAAGGAAGGAAGGAAGGATCGAAAGGAAAGCATAATAAAAAAAAGAGGGAGTTTTGTGAATAATACCGTAAGATATCCATTTTGCAATACGATCACACGGACTTTCGTAAAAGTGAAAGGTTCGATAGCACTTCGCGGAAAAAGCGAAAGGCCATTTCGCTTATTTACACTTTGCCATAGATTTATCGATGGTTCATCGTTTTCTGGACAATATAACATAATATGATTGGACCATTTTTCTTCTCCTATCACAATAATTACTTTACTTATTTATTTCTTTTTCATATTTCCAATGACATTGAATGCAGTTTAAGAATAATACTCTGATAATTAATTAAAATAAGAAATCAATCTGAAAAAAAATGTATGAAAAGTAGAAAGTAAATGGAAGTAAATTGAAGAAAATGATTTCTTTTATGGTGTTTACGTATGCACAACGTTGTGCATACATAGGATCGTCCATGCGACGTCGAGTTAAACGGTGTCTGATTGTAATTGGGGGAGGGAACAAGAGTATCCCGTCACTTATAACTCTATACGCGAGTTAGAGAGTTATCGTGGCTTCTAGCGGATATAGTGAATCATAGTATCTGCATACATTCGTACGATTAAAAGACAGGATAATGATCGAACGTGTATAGTGCAATAGCTAATAGTAAAAATTACGTAGGGGTATTGATTCAAGGATACCTGACGTATACCGTATTTTCTAACAGGTTGTTGTTCCAGATACAATGTGAATTACGAGCTAATTGTGTTTGTCTATGAAAATGTTTTCTTCTCTTAGAAAAATCTCTCTTTAATTATTATTATTATTATTATATATAT